ATCGATCCTCTGCTTGCTGACCACATTTCCAAGAGCTGTGATGAGAGGAGGGCTGCACTGGATTTTGCTGTTTCTAATAATGATATCCATTGCACAGAAGTCCTGAATGCAGTGCCTGCCATTCAGTATGCCCTAAACGATGAAGTGATGCTGAGGCTGTTGTTAAATGATGGCTATTGAGTGGAGCCGAGCTTTGAGTGCATGTGTGGGGACATATTTGGGAATTGTTTATGTAGTCAGAGATAGAAGAAGTATTGCCGGTTGGACATCTTGTATAATATAGGATAACCTGTCCGTGAGTGTGTTACAGTTCCTTGGAAGAAACACTTGGTAGCCACTGTTAATCGTACATTAATAGATTACATGAATTATATTCTTCTGTGTGCTAAACTGCAGTCTGCACAGGAAGCACAGAATGGCCAAAAATCCAGCACATACTAGGTAAAAACAAGTTTTGCCTAAATTTTTTAATGAAAAATGTCTATAGGGAAAATTTTTTAATGTCACCTTTGATACCTTCTCAGTACTACTTTATTTTCAGAATTATGTTTTTGAAAATCATCCTTAATATTTCCTCTGGTTTAAGATACTAATTTCTTGCCTTTCTTGATACTTCCCAACTCTTTAATTATATAATGGGTACAATTATAACTATATGAACATTCTAACTAAGAACTTTTTTTTAAAAGTTGATTTCTAGAATATCATAAAGTATGTAGACTGTAATCTCCATATTACAGTCCATATGGCAGGGATCTGTTTTGTTTATTTTTATATTCTCAAGGCTTAGCATAATTTCTAGAAGTGGTAAAAACAATAAATACTGCGTAAATAAATAAAAAAAACTAGCAAGGAGAACATACTAAATGTACATGATTATTAACTACATTTGCCAATACTTATATTTTTTAAAGCAAGAGAACTGGGTAAAAAATCCAATACCTGTAATCCAATACAAATTATTGTAATCCAATAATTAGTAAATTATTTAACGTTTGCAAGTATAAACTTTACCAAATAAATTCTAGGTAGATCTATGTATATTAAAAGTCATGTAAAAGACTTAGTGAATGAAGCAGCAATGGTATAAACTTGAGCTAGGTGATCTATTTCTCCATGAAGCATAGGGAAGCCATGGGAGATTAGAGAAATCCAGGGGAAGACTAGCAGCTTTATAATATTAATGCCATTGTAAACCAGGGTTGCACACATTGTGATTTTATAGCAATTTATGTGAAAACACTCAAACTGCCCTGTGACTTAACAATAAAAGATTGTGTGGCCATAATCTAAATTACTTCACACTTCCTGGCTGGAAGTGTTGTCCTCACTTAAGTCTTCATGGTTAGCTTTCAGAATAAGTCCTTTTGGTTGAAACATATCTTCAACTAATTGCTTGTACAGAAGTAGCCTGAAAAGGCCTGATGAAGTATAGTTATAATTAGCTACTATACTTAGAGAAAAATACCTCTAAACATTAGCAAAAATTTACTGACGTTCATTCTCACAGAAGTTTTAACTTCACCATTATACTGAATTTTACGTAGCTTATGTTCTCTACCACTATTACTATTAAAAGTAAACTATGTTTTCTTCTGTTAAAGAGATTAATACATAAACTAAAAATTTAAATATAGCTATCTCATGTTAACTGCAAATATTTTTAATACAACTCTTAAGCAAAATAGTATTTTTTAAAATAATGGAACATTAATTAACTTAGTATTTTTAAACTGTAAGTCTTAGTTACAAAGTATCAAAAGCACTTTAACTGTTTGGGGAATGTGAACTCAGTGAATTTTTGCTTACAATCTTCAGCCCATAAATATTTTTTGTTTAAAGAACAATAACAAATGTAATTGTTCAAGAGGTATAATATATATCTATGTAAAACTTAACTCCCTAGCCCAATTAATGACTTTGCTGAGTAAAATATCCTTTAAAATACATTTTGCTTCAAATGAAATGTTTATAAGGAACTAGTTCACCAAACAGCAGCTCATAATTGGTCAACATCATTAGTTATTTTCAGGGTTATCCAGAATACATAATAAATTGGCTACTAAAGCTTGAGCTATAACTCTGAGTAGAAAAGTTTAAAAAGAATTATTAATCGTATTATTTTAGTATAAAAGAATCAGGAAAAAATCATTCCAAAACTGAGATTAAAAACACTAAATGTATTTTTTAGGTACTCAGTAAAGCACATTAGATACTTGCTTATCATTGTAACAATAGATTCCTGTATTTCTGTGTTTCCTAATAAATTGGTAATTTTCAAGTAATGACTTCTAATTCTAAAGACTTAATTTGCCAATATAAGGTTTAAAATAAAATTCATGAAATGTTTACATTTGCTTATCCTGATCTGATATAAACTTGTAAATGCCAGCAAGTATATATATGTATATAAGAGCATAAGCAAATGAAGCTAACTAGTCATCATTTTGTATGAACTATATGTATCATCATAAACAGGAACACATTAATTTTCATAAAATATAACAGCCTTGCACATACACTCCCCTAAGCTTGTACCTCTGTTAGGTTCAGAATTGGGCTATTCAATTTACTCGTGGGGCAGTAAGTCTCTAGAGCCAGAATAATTACACCAATTAGCCAAAAGAGGGCGCAGAGAGAGCACTAGAGTTCATGCACTCCCTAGGAAACTACCCGCTGGTTTTTCTCAAGTTGTCTAACAAAGGCTAAACCCACAGTTAGGCGTGCTAATTTGAGAATACTGAAAATTAAAGCACATGTATATATAGATATACCTTAATATAGAATCTTATATAAATATATTGATATGTAGCATTTCTACCATTCAAACAAAATAAATATATGTCTTGCCTAGTGTGCTAGTTTTTATTCCAGTACCAGGGGACTCAGATACAGAGGGATCAGATCGGCAAGGATATCAAGAGGGAAGAGAATGTGCCCTAGACATGGTAAATCTAAGAAAAACAAAACCCTCTTAGGGTGGGAAAGGGACCACCTCTGGTTCTCATTACGGAGGCAGAAGTTAGCTCTGAATACCTCCCAGATACCTTTCAAGGTAACTAGTACTACTACATGAAGTATAACTGCCTCTAAGGGATACAATGCTCTTCAAGGGATCTTCACTTCACACTTCCCTGCTCTCTCAAGGTCCAGTTAGTAGAGCAATCAATTGATATCTATCTGCATTGTCTATACATTACTTCCTTATAACAGTTCCCCCATCAGGCCAAATTTGGTCAATATGTTACCTTGCACAAAACCCAATCCATTTCCATGACATGAGCATATAATGTAGTTCATTAAGCTCTACAAATAAATTTCTCATATTAAATTTACTATGCTTTTTATCAGCACCCATACATATTTTCATCTGCCACCTCTATACTTTTAAATAATAAAGCATTGTAATTAGAACATGTAAGACATGGCACTTATATTTCTGAGAACAGCTAATGCTATTCTTTTAAAAGATAGTTTCTGAAAGAACTAACCACGGTATAGTTAACTGGCTGATATGGCAACTTTCTGTTTCATGATTTCTCAGGTGTGACACCCTACCATCAAAGCTAAGTAAAAGGAAACTACTGATATGTTCCAAGAACAGTAGATCCATTCAATCTCCTCTAAGATTCAAGAGAAATACTGTGAGCACATACATTTTCAAAAAAGATATATGGATTTTGCAGTATTCTAATGGAAAAAAGTCTAAAGCTGAATTTATTTTCTAAGTATACTAAAGTTCTTTTTATACAAATATTCTATGCTTTCCAAGAGACCATCATTGTTAGCAATTTAAATTTGTGTAAGGCTAATGATAAATGTAGATCATTATATTTTCTTATTTTAAGGCTTTTTCCTAACATTAGCTACAAAAAAAAAAGTCTCTCAATCCAAATTATAGTTGGCCCATTAAAATTTAAATTCAATTTGGCTGACTGATTGTAGGTACACAAAAGTTATTTACTTTTACTAATAATTTCCTATAATTTTGTTTCAGGAATAGCTGGCCTATATTTATTATATATAAACCTTCATTGTGTACTTTTTAGATCTACTAGTAGGTAAATAAGAGCAAAAAGTATATATATTTTTCAAAAGCACAATACTCCTCTTTATACTGTACATTATACATTTTCTAGTTATATTAGCATTTTAAAAACACTCATTCTGGTTTAACTGCACTAGAAAAGGTATCTGTGGAATTATTGCAAATTCTCTATCCATTTGCTCACCAAAATATTAGAATAAAATAGGAATACATGCCCACTTAGTCAGTTTTCTCCTTGGAACAAATATATTAACAACAATCAATACTTACAACAGTACAGGGAAAAGAAGTGGAAAAATTAACATGGAAAAACATTTAATCTTTCCTTTAATATAAGGTAGATAGTTGGTGCTTTATTTTAGTGGTATTTTTATTTTGTTTTTGGTGAAGAGAAAACATTAGAAAGCTACTAAGAAAACACTGCCTTTTTTCTGTTGTTCAATCCTATGCTACATTTGTAGTATATATAAAAGTATGAACATATTTTAAACTGTACTTGAAAAGAAATTTCACATATAAGGTGTAAAACCTTTTGTAAAAGCTGAAGAATTAAATTCAGATTTGATTAGTACTGCTCAAGAGTGAAAATTTCAAATAAACATCTGAAAATTCCCATAAATTAAAATCTGTAATATTGTCAGTGCTAAAAGAAATTATGTACAATTATTTCATCCCAATCACTGCCTTTTGAGTTTAATAACAAAAGCACTTTAAGAAATCCCCGTGGAAAGCTAATTTGAAAGTAAACATGCTTTGAAACTTAACTATAGATCTTGTGTTAGTCCCACAACAGGATCAAGATCACTATTAAAATAAAGCCTGGGGCACATTATGATGCCTAAGATTGGTGGGTGGATTTTAATTGACTTGAAGACTGTCATCGTTCTATTATCAGAAAACCTGTAACGCATTTCCAGCATGGAGGACCCATCTGTGCCCACCATCCATCTGTTTAGACGTGATTGGCAAAGTGGTAGGGAACTCGCAGTGGTTGCCTCTGCCTGAAAGGAATAAACCACAGGATCTTCCAACGAGTGCCAAAAACTTCTGAGAAGGTCTGCTGCCATGGCTTTCGGGGCCTCGATCTACAGAAGACAGCATTATTAGTGAAAGACAGCACTCCCATGGTGCACTTCAGTCAGCTAAAACAATACAGGTTGGCTGGGGATCCATTACAGGACTCTGATGAATTGTGTCCCAGCATCACAAATACAGCTTTCCTTTCATTATGGCATGCAGCTGAGTTTTAACTCTGGAGAGCAGATATTGTATCTGTGTCGTCAATCAACCTACGGCAACTTTTGAAGTGAAGTAGAATCTCAGTGTTAACAGAATGTGTGTCAACAACACAGTAGCAAATCTCTTTTGATGTACTTTCAGGACAAATAATTTAACTTACTTTAGTGAGATAAGTAACAAGAATGATCAGTACTTATTTTGTATGAAAACTAGCATAGCTAGAAGACCCCAGATGTAAGAATAGGTTATGCCTGCCTAGCTCAAGCCTTAGACAAGGCTCCAAGAAAAAAACCATCATTCTATTATCTTTCCCCTATATTTTTTTCAAATGTGGCCAGTTATTTCCATTTTTAGTAAGAACTCTATAGATTTCACTTTTATACTTACATTTCTTCGCAACAGTTTGACATCTTTTCAATAGATGTTGTATCCTATTAAAAATTAAGAAAAATACTCAGAACAAAGTTATTAAGACTTTATTCTATATTAATTTTCAATGTTTTAAAATTATATCTAGAGAATATTCTGAAGATTTAAGCAGTTTATTCATGAGTAATAAGATTTCTAAATTATCTACAGACATTGCTGAACTTCCTTGGAAAAAACAGAATCATAATTACAATTATACTCCCACTCCACAAATATTATTCAATTACAAAACCTCACAAAAAGTGTAAGAGTCTCACTTCATTAATGTAATATTTTTTATTATATTTGCTTCCTTGACAATTCTTTTAAAAGTCCAGTATCTATTTGTAATTCAACTGCCATGTATATGCATTAAAAATAAATACCAAAAATGACAAATGAAAGGCTAATGCACAAAGAGTTAAAGGCTTGCTCTTCTGAGAAGACACAGACTCAACAAGGCCCCTGCACTTGCCACACCACAACACCCAGTCCTCTGAAAGTGAAGTGAGCTCATCAGAGTCCCTTTGGTGAACAAACAATTTCCTTTTTTCAACAGAAAAATCAGCCTCTCCATAATGATACAATTTCTTATTTATATGCTTTATATAATAATGAACATATAAGAAAAACAAGTCAACAAACAAAAGGTAGTTTTTAGACATGCTGGTTCGACTCATGTTAACAGAAGATCTATCATTAGATTGAAAAACTTATTATTTAAATAATAACCAAGACAAAGTACATAATCTTAGTTTAGATATTTAAATTTTAAGCATACTTCAAAGGAGTATAAAAGAAAATAGCTTCTTTTAAATAAACCAGAAAGTTACAGAAGTAATTCTCCTCTACTAGCGTGCTCACAAACGGCAGGTGGGCTGTACTGTTATTAAGCAGTACTATTCATGCAAATAGTTCTGGTTTCAACTGCAATCCCAAGAACTTTTTTGGTTATAAAACTTTCCTCCAATGAAACTAATAAAAAACACCTTCAATTTATAAGACTCTTTATAGTAGAAGTTACATAATTCGCTAAAATATTAATATCTTATGCATGAACAGAATAACTACAGTTAGCCCATATATAGAAAAAATAATAATCTTTTTATTAAAATGTCCAAGTAACCAATTATAGAATTTTATTTCCAGATTACCTAGGAATTTGGGACAAGACTGCAGATTAGCTACATACTCTCTATTGGTTTTCCTATTATGCTTTGAAATTCATGATATCCAATGACAATTCTACTTATAATGATCCTTTCTTGGTTCTGTTGCATAACTTCCTCAAAATAATGTTTTACATTGTGAAACTGCAGTCTGCAAATACATGACAGCATTGATTAGGGACTTAACGGAAAACTGAGCCTCTAGTTTCACATCTGTATAGAAAGTGACAAGTAATTTTAATGGTGTCTTAGAATTGATGGGTGACAGATTGCTCCAAAAACAATTGAGATAGTGGTGCACAAAAACAAAAAGAAAGAAGTCAAGTGCTATTAGTTAAGGTACATACAAATGAACTAAAATTGCAGTTGTGGATAATACTTAAAAAATGAAAACTAGCCCTAACCGGTTTGGCTCAGTGGACAGAGCATCAGCCTGCGGACTGAAGGGCCCCAGGTTCAATTCCGGTCAAGGGCACATCCCCAGTGGAGTGTGTGCAGGAGGCTGCTTGCTGATCAATGTTTTTCTCTCACCAGTGTTTCTAACTCTCTCTCTCTCTCCCTTCCTCTCTGTAAAAAAAACACAAAAAAAAAACACAATAATATATATATATACATACATATATACATATATATGTGTGTGTATATATATATATATATATATTTTTTTTTTAAGGCATCAACTTTGCCTGGCCTGCATGGCTCAGAGGTTGAGTATCGACCTATGAACCAGGAGGTCACGGGTGGATTCCCAATCAGGGCACATGCCCAGGATGGGAGCTCAATCCCCAATGTGGGGTGCAGAGGAGGCAGCCAATCTGATTCTCTCTCATCATTGATGTTTCTATCTCTCTTTCCATTTCCCTTCCTCCAAAAATATATTAAGAAAAGAAAAAAAAATCAACATTAAAGACTTTGGATTTAGACTTCATATGGGAAAAGCTTTTCTTTTCAAGTGCTTTTGACATCTTTCTAGAATCTGGTTCAATAGTAGACTAATGCTTATTAAATCATCATAAACAGATGGTCATTTTTATCAGAGGATGGGACATTTATCATGACCTTATGAACACTATTTGTGAGGGCAGACATAAAGGCTATTTTTTTCTCTCTAGAAATAGCAAATGCTTACCTCTCTAAAACTCAGCTATGCTGAATCATGTTATGATATAAGAAAAAAGTACAGTTTGTAGATGAAAAACTAAACATGTCACAAAATCTTTGCACTGACACTTGCACACATACTCAGAGCAACAAAATTTATTATGCTATCACAGTCATAAACACAACAGAATCAGCAAACTAGAAAAGAAAAAAGTTGCTACTGGTTGGAACATGGAAAACCATAAGCTATTTCCAAGTGCCAAATCATATTTAATATTCTTTTTTCTGCTTATAATGCAAGGAAATATGTAATATTAGAGGGAAAAACACACAAAGACTAGTTAAAATAGATTTTGGTGCACATAACTAATTCTCAATTTAAAAGATTCAATGCCTTTGGTGACCATCAGAAAAGGACAAATAAGATAACTGCTATTCTTAAGGAGGAGTATAAATATAAATTATTAGCTTCTAGAGGCCTGGTGCATGAAATTCGTGCAGTGGAAGGGGTTGTTCCTCAGCCCAGCCTGCACCCTCTCCAAACTGAGACTCCTCGGGGGATGTCCGACTCACAATCCGGGACTGCTGGCTCCTAACTGCTTACCTGGCTGCCTGCCTGATTGCCCCTAACCATTTCTGCCTGCTAGCCTGATCTCCCCCTAACCTCTTCCCTGACAGTCTGATTGACACCTAACTGCTCCCCTGCTGTCCTGAACACCCCCAACTGCCCTCCCCTGCCAGTGAGGTCGCCCCCAACTGCCCTCCCCTGCAGGCCTGGTCACCCACAACTGCCCTCCTCTGCCAGCCATCTTGTGGCAGCCATTTTGTGATGACATGGGGGGCAGCTGTCTTATGAGGGTATGAAGGTCAATATTACCTCTTTATTATATAGGAGGATATGTAAAATTCAGCTATCCAGAAAAATTCTTCAAGGAATAATGAAACAAATTTTTATTTTATGCTCTCTACAATCAGAATATCTTTTTTTCCAGAGAAATATTTATGTTTTGATTATGGTCTAATGATCAAATAGCTAAGACTTTCTTCAGCCTACATAACTAAGAGACATATGAGAATGCTTTCCTATTTTTAGAAACTGAGTTTATTTTCTAAAAGAACAAAAAACAAAACAAAACAAAAAAATAATAATAAACTAGAAAAAGCAAAACTTATAGAAATTTAGGCCTTACTTATATCAATCAATACTATATAATTTTCCTGATGGCTGACCTTACCCTAAGAAATTATCTTTCAGATTCAGCCTAAGAAAATATGATTGCTTTTTTTTTTTTAAGCTGTGTCCTAACTAATAAGATTATATCTAAAGTAGAGGGGAAATTTTCCTAGCAGAAAATAAGAGGGAGGTATTAATTACCTACTAGAAAAGTTAGGAAGGGGAGGGGGCAAGAGGAAGATTTTATCACCAGAAGTTTCCTGGTTGACAGACCTGAAATTTAGTCCTCGTGAAATAGATACTTCAATGATACAATCCATCCAACTAGCTTATCCTGCTTTGAGTTCATTCTCACCAACACTTTACCATATATGTTGTCATATAGGAAAGAAGAATGTAAAGAGTCCTTCAAAACACGTGACAATCTGGTTTATATCTTTAACTATCACTTTAAAGTCTGGAAGCAAGAATCACTGCTTCTCAGCTTCATTAACTCTGGCAACATTTTCAATTAGTAATACTTGCACCTCGGATAAACCTCATTAGCTATGCTACTGCCACCGCGCAAAACTCAAAATGGAGTTTCTAGACCTGCCAAACTGAAGACTTGAAATAAGAACATTCTATCAGAAAACATCCCCGAAGACAATTAAATCTTACCTCAGTCATCGCCTGTACTCTTTGCTCTTATTATAGGTCTTGTCAATGCTTTTAACGCTGTTGTACACACCTGATTTTGTTTATTTAAATTGAACTAATAAACTAGTAAAAAAAAAATTTCAGAACTAGAGATTGTATATCTTTTTTATTTATTACTAATTTCTACTAATTCTAAGATAAGCTTTTGCTTGGCTTTCTAGCATCTCTAATCCACATTCGGATAGTAAAAAGCTCATTTAACTTTGCACCTTCCACAGCATCTACTAGTATATATTGTTCAAGAGTACTGAATATATGTTTGCAGCACTAAACTAACTGAACATGGACAGAAATAACATGATTCCTTAATTTTAATTTATATCAGCAGTGCAAAGAGAAGGCATTTCCTAATACTATCAGCTCTTTCTCCTCCTCTGAAGCCAGAGCTCACGCTATCCTTCATTTGAAATAAATTGTTCTTTAGGCATCCATCTTCAACCAAGGGCCAGCTATATAGTTTATTAGAAATCTGAAATTCACATAAGGATTTAATCAATCATGGAACTAAAGTGAGAGGACAGGAGATCTTACATGTATATAGTCACTAAAAATCTCTATTCAAAATAATTCCCATACTTCTTTTCGGGCTATATAAAACGTTAGGGAAGTTACTAAAAGTCTGTATATCTCAATTTTCAAATAATAATACTTACCTCATAGGTCTTTTACAGGGACTAAAGGAGTTAATATATGTTAAAGCCCTTAATAAATGGCAGTCCTCATTCTTATTTCATATTGCCTATTAAATACTTTCTGAAAAGACTTGGAGATACAGTATCTCAATTATATCAAGATGCAATTTTTAAAAATTATGTTTAAATAAAAGCGTGGATTTTATCATAAAAGTTAAAATAACCAGGACTATGGGAGACTATGCTAATAAAATCCAACGTCCACAAGGGACTTATAACCTAGTTGAAAACCAAGTACTAAGTACATATGCCAAAATTCATTTACTCATTAATCCATCTATCAAAAATTTACTAAGTAACTGTTATGACATAGTTCTTAGCATCAGGAGCTTAACGGCTAGCAAAATCAGTAAAGTTTACAAGAAATAATTATACAAAAACACAGAGGATGCCAGAGAGGATGATAACACACACTGATATATTGTATAAATAAGCCTTGCTCTAAGTACTGGGAACAGCTGAAAAATGTTTGTGATCAACACATAAGGTTAACTACTGTTACATTTTTAATACAATTTTATACTTTCAATAAGATTTTTGGTTATCAATAGAAGATGAGCGAATGTGCTACTTTGGCTGAGACATGGGGAGTAACTAACCTATTGATGGGATATGACAGAGAGAAGATCTACAAGTTACTATAAATAGGTCACTGTTTTCTCCAATCCTATAATGTTTTAAAGTCAGATTAAAAACCAATGTGTGGAAAATTGCAAGTAAAGGAAAACTCATGTTTAGCTTCCTAACCAAATAAGAAAACATCTATCTAATCACTCAAGCAATTAGTAATGCTTTAAGAAAGTTAAAACGCACTATTCCCCTACACTATTACATAAATTGATTTAAACTGTTTTCCATATTTGCAATTCTGGTTTGGAGTTGAGTAAACCAAACATAATTTGTACAGAGATTGTACTGAAAGCTGCTAATTCACCACATTGATTCAGTGGAATACTTGGCAAAATTTAACTGTAAGGATTAATCATCTCAGAACCACATTTCTGGGTATATATTAAAAGGCAGGTAAACCCACTAACTGCTAATGAGAATGTTATTTAATAGATAATCTCATTTAAACTAATTAAACACTGTGAACACAGGTACTTTTCATTGCATAACATAATCAGGTTAAAACTAAGTTACCCCTGCATTGTAATTCTTTCTGTATTGATTTAGGTAACCAGGAGCCAGTACTGGGGTGGGGTGTGGGGGAAGACATTTCCCCCTTTTAAGTGGAAAAGCTTTGCTTTAAGCTACCTTTAGTAATTCAAGCAGAGTCCAACAATAGTACCTGTGAGACAAAAGCAAAAGCTCAATTTTTTCTTTGAGAATTTAAAGCCTTTTTCAAAACTGCCAGTAAATACATCTTCCCCACCCTACCCCAAACCTCACCACAACTGAGAAAAACACTAAGCTCCAGAGACCCCACCAAAAGCTTAATCTATTACATAAACTCCATGGTGCCCAGAAAACAAAAATGCTTGTATACAACATTCAGAGAAACTGTCAGAGCACTGTCACATGTACAATAGCTCGCTGTCAGAACCTCGCCAGAAGCGCTGGGCCAGCTGTTACTGCACTTCTTGATTAACTCTCTCCAAGCCCAGTGACTGGAAACATGACTGACACAATCACCCAGCACCATGAGTACTGCTGGTTGTCAGATGGACACTATTCTTGGCTGTGTGTGAACTACTGCTCAATAAGAAATTCTGACATCAATTATATTAATAACTACCATTACTATCCATTTCATTCAGAAACAGGAAAAAAAAAAGACTAAACAGTCTAAGAATAATTGGAATAATCTGTTCCCTTTAAAGTTGATTGCTTTGAAAACATTTTAACTTCATTATTAATTTTAGTAAAAATATACAAGCACATATATTTAAATCCTGTTTTAAAATCAAATCTAAAAATAATCAAAGATAATCCTTTAAAATCGGGCTTAAGATCAGTCTAGTCTACAGAAACCTCTGGTTGTGTTGACCTCTAACCTTGAAAATGAGATTAGAAATCCACTATTTTTAAATTTAAGTAATTTCTAATTATTTTATCTTATTCACTAAATTTTGTTAAAAATAGCAGTAAATAAATAACAAACACAAAGTCCCGTTAATTTAATTATAAGCAAACCTTGGTTAAAAGCATTTTAAAATTAAAAGGGTGTTAATTTTCACGTATAAACTACAGATTGGAAATTCAGTCCGCTAAATCTGAAGTCCATTAAATCGAAGTCTGCAAAATCCAGGGTTTACTGTAATTGTGAATTACTTTATGACTGAATTACTACTCTATAAGCACTTTACTATGAATCACCAACATTTGTTAGTGTATTTTTTTTTAATTATTAATAGCCATACTAGTGTGTGTAAAGTCAAAACCTCATTATGGTTTTGATTTTTATTTCCTTTATGACTAATGATGTTGAGCATCTTTGTATATATTTATTGTCCATTTGCATATATGCTTTGAAGAAATTCCCATGTAGGTCCTTATCCCATGTTTTAATTAGAATGTCTTTTTATTATTGAATTATAAGAATTCTTTATATACAATTCCCTTATCAGATACATGATCTGCAAATATTTTCCCCCATTCTGTGAACTGTTTTCTCACTCCTCCACTCCCCACCCCTCATTCTTAATAATGTCCCTTGAATCACAAAAGTTTTGAGTAGGTCCAATTTATCAATTTTTTTTTCTTTGGTCATTTGCACTTTTGGTGTCATATTTAAAATACTACTACCTAACCCAAGACTTGCTCCTATGATTTCTTCTATGAGTTTTATAATTTTAGATCTTACATTTAGGTTTATGATCCATTTTGAGTTCATATATGTCCATGGCGTGAGGTAAGGGTCTAATTTTATTCCTTTGCATGTGGATAGCTAGTTGTCCCAGCACCATTTCTTTGAAAATACTTTACTTTCCCCCATTAAACAGTCTCGGCATCCTTACTGCAAATAATTGTCCATAAGTATATGTGTATACTTCAGATCCTTGATTCCATTTCATTTATGAATATATCTATCCTTATGTTAGTACCGTACTTTCTTGAATACTATTGCTTTATAGTAAATTTTGATTTTTTTCTTACTATACATTTCTTTCACTGAATACATTCTGATAATCACTTAAGTTTTCATATATAATACATACATTATGCATAGTATAATAATGATATTTTTAAATTACATGTTTATTTACATATACTTAAATAGTCTCTATAGAATAAATTTGCAGAGAAAGGACTATGCATTTTAAATTTTCAGACACTGATAATTTGTCCTTCAAAAAGTATATAGTAATTTACACCCCAACCAATATATGAAAAAGTCTGTTTACCCTACATCTTTTGCAATGCATGTATTGCCAAACTTTTAAGTTCTTACTCAATATTTCTCATACTTTTTAATCTTTTCTGTTGTGCTAAATCCCATTTAGCTAATATGTACAAGCAAAAAAATAATTACTATTAAAATGTCTCTATAAGTAACTCCATTTCTTCAAAGTAATGTTCTTTATAATATATAAAACAATAATTGCACACTAACCCTGATCAACACGGGAAAGATTATTTATGGTATCTGCAGCTATATAAAAATATTTTATGCTAAATTTTAAAGGTATGGTGAAAAATTGTATGTATACTCTGTACAATGATTATAACTAAAATTACAAAGGCTTCTGGAAATGGGGATAAATGACTCTGGGTAATTTTCCCCTCTAATTTCTAAAGTCTCTGTAACATTTTAGAATTAAGTTCATACTTAGGGAATATGTTCATAAATACAATATTTTACATTAAAAATATACTTACTGTGATGATGCCAATTAGTTGAGTATAAAAGAGTCCAGTTATTCCAACTAACATAGTAATGCCCATAAAGGCAGCTAGTCTCATTATAGCCAATTCATGTCTAACAATGAAGAGGTCCTATAAAAAGAAAAAAGTAAGTCTTAAAAACAATTCAAGCAGTTACTTATATAGTTGCAATAATCATCAAGAATTGAGCCCTAACATTTCCCCCTTATTATCTATGTATTCATATACTTATCCTCACCTGAGGCTATGTTTTTACTTATTTTACAGAGAAAGGTAGAGAGAAAAACCTCAAAGTGAGAGAAATATGGATCAGTTGCCTCCCTTATGCAACCTGACCAGGGATCGAACCTACAACCCAGCATGTGCCCCAACAGGAAATTGAACCCACAACATTTTGGGTTGATGCTTCAATCAACTAAGCCACCTGGCCAGTGCTCTCTTTGTTATCTTAAAACAAATACTCTCCTCCCTTTTAAGAAGATTTCATTTAATCAATACATTTTGTTTTAAATTTCAAAGCAGCAAGATTAAAAATAGGATTTTACTATTCTATTGTGCCAAAAAACCTCAACCCAAAGACTGCAAATCAGCAGTGCTTGTTTACTATTTATAGCAAAAAACCTTCAAAATACAAAACAGATGGTATAGAATCACTGGTTCCACAAAAGTAAATTTTACTACTGCACTGCAAAAATCCTTAAGATCAGTGACCAAGAACTGAGAGCTTATGTAACTTAGTCAAAATGAGGGGGGGTAGAGTAAATTATAGCATCACATGGACAGTTCTCTTCAACCTCACTTCATTCATTCAGCCATCTACTCACCTAACCAGCATTACAAATACTCTGCTATATAGAAAAAATGATAAAAATATGGCCCTTGCCCTCAAGAAATATGCAGTTTATTCAGAGAAACAGCCCAACTTTGCAAAAACACAGTATGATCTATAATAATAAAAGGGTAAAATGCTGATTAGACCGGATGTCCTTCCAGAGGACCTTCCCGGCGAAGCTGGGGCTGTGAGGGAAGCCCGATTCTCGGGTGACACGAGGGAAGCTGGGTCAGCAGCCAGGGAATTTCATGCACAGGGCCTCTAATATACTATGAGAGGAATGTGTGCACAGAGGACTAAGAAAACATAAAGAAATGCCTAGATGGGAAGGGAAATGGAAATGCTGTGAAAGAAAGGCAATTTTTTGGTTCAAGCATCAACGGAAGGGTCTTAAAAGTTACTAAAAACAAAACAAAACAAAAACCCCCAAAAAAACAAAAAAAAAAAAAAAAAAAAAAAAAACACAACCACACACACAAAAATACAAGAAAATGAGGGAGTAGCATTTCATGTGCCCTCACTGTTACCAACCAGATCTACAAGAGGAGTGAGAGAGAATGAAAGAACAAGACTTCCCCAGGGAATCCATTATTGCTAAACTTTGATATAAAACGGCCACAGTGGATAAAAGCAAGAAACGAACGGGAAGGATCCCCCGAACATTACCAACCACACACTTTATAATATTAGTTCAGGTTATGGTTTAAAGGTATTTTGGTAGCAATAATGAAAGCCAGGAGGCCACTGAACATATGCACTTGCTTGAAACAAAAGAACTGATGTTTTTCTGTGAATCACAGTGATTACCCACCAGACTTAAGCAAAAATCTGATTCCATTCCCAAGTCACTCAATTCATTAGCCTGGAAAAACACACCAAGACACTTAATGTGGTATGTGTATTATGTTAGGCAGTCATTTCAAAAGCTCAATAAAAAGAGCCCAGGCAAACATGTAAAGGGAACAAGATGTAGCAACAAATGATTTTTTTAAAAATTATATTTAACAAGTTCTGCTATTTGAAAACACAAATATATTTCAACATGATTAAGCAATAATTTAAGCACAGCAAGCATTTGTGTTTGCTTATGCATGATTTTTACCTGTAGAAACCCTAGGTAAACACACACACAAAAAAAAAACTACAGCCAGCTAAAGCAAGCCATAAAGAAATACACAAAACACACACATACCTCCAGTCCCTTACCAGCTACCTCAATTTATCCTGAGCCACTCTCATCTACATCTGTTATTACAACTTCCCCTCCCATTTCAGGTGACTCTCTTCACTTCACAACTCACACACTGCTACTTTTCCAATGCCCACTTCTCCAAGAAAACTTTGGGTATCTTTTAGGGTAAAGTGCCATGTTCATTATAGTATTTATGTATCTCTTAAGTATTTAACAAGTATAAAAATATGTTGCTGTTTCTATTAGGTTCCTACGCTTTTAAGTGTCACTGACAATGTTTTTGAAGTGTTGTGCCTTCAATTTCCCATAAGCACTATGGTTTTCCCTGAATGATTTTACACATTGGAGTGGATTTTAGGAATACAAAAACTGTGTTACTATAGAGCTTACTGTAATAAAAATATAATATATGACCAAATAAAATGCACCTTCTCTTCTCCCAGTGAAATAGGCTTAAAATTTTTTTTGCCAACCAGAATTTATAAGTGTAGGGATGAAGATGAGACTAAAATGTCCGCATATACTGTCATTTATTCATTTGGTTATACACTTATATTTAAGAATATTTATAAGAAATACTTTTATTTGAAATTGTTGTTTTGTGTTCCATATTTGGCCACATACTTGGCCATAGTGTGAGTCTATTAACACAGTTCTCCAGAGCACAGCACCTTTACTTCCATCTTACTTGTTGTTGTTTTTTAGATATAGGACTTTTTTAAAGCAAAAATTGGCTTGGGAAAACTTATCCAAAATCACAAAAACCCATTTGCTATTCAAGATCTTTACTACATAATCAGTGTTGTGGCTGAATTGTGTCTCTCCTAACACAATTCAGAATGTCATTATATTATATTTGGAGACATGGCCTTTAAAGTGACGACTAAGTTAAAATGAGGCGTTTAAGGTAAGCATTAATCCAATCTGACTGGTGCCTTATAAGTGGAAATTTAGAAATAGAGACAGCAGGAATGCTCATTGCACAGAAGAAAGACTATGTGAGGACACAGAGACCTGGTGGCCATCTACAAGCCAAGGTGAAAGGCCTCCAGAGAAATCAGATCTGCTGACACCTTGATCTTGGACTTGCGGCCTCTAAAACTGTGAGGAAATGAATTTCTGTTGCACACAAAAACAATTATACCCATGAAGCTTCACAATCCCCCCTAGACGTCTTGTACTTTTTCTGTCAGAATTATTTCAGGAACTTCCTGTTTCTTAACTCTATTATAAACTAGAGGCCCAGTGCATGAAATTTGTGCACAAGTGGATCCCTAGGCCTGGCCTGTGATCAGAGCCAGTAGGGGCCTTTTGGCTGCCAGCTGGGGCCTTCCCATCAGCTGCCAACTGCTGGCCGGGGTAGGCATCAGAGGGGGTTGTTTGTTGGAGAGCACCAACCACCAGGGGGATACTTCTGTGTTGAGTGTCTGCCCCATGGTGGTCAGTGTGCGTCACAGTGACCAGTTGTTCTGGTCATTCTGGTCATTTCAGTGTTCCGGTTGCTTAGGCTTTTATATAGATAGTCTTCCCATTAATTTCATTTTCTAAAGAAGTACATATTAGCACACAGAAATAGAATTTTTTAAATACTGATTTGTAGTCACTCTTCTTAAAAAATATTCTAAAAAAAAAAAAAATCCAAGAAGATATAAGGATAAATCATTTATATAATCATATCATCTAAGAATAATGAGAGTTTTATTTCTTTCAGAAGTTACAGGTTTTTTCTTATTTTCTCTTGCCTCACTTCACTTGCTAGAATTCTTAGCACTATGTTTATTAACAATGGTGATAGGGGGCTTAGTGGGATCAATGTCTTCATTTATTGTAAGGTTTCTGTGTTCTATTTGTCACTAAAAGCACAGACATATATTGAAACATAGAATTGGCAATTGTTTGAACAACAGGGTATCCTTAAACTGTTTTCCCTTACAAATATAAAATAATTATGTATCTGACCTTATTTTTCCCAAGCCCCCTCCCTCAAAAAAAAAAAATGTTACCAAGGGACAATCTCACTAGCATTTCAGGATACATTAACAAAAAGCTAAATTAACTTCATACTAGTGTTAAAAATAACTTTCATTTCGTATTCATCTTAAAGCCAAACTATTCTTGGCTATTCTTGCCTACTCTTGTCAAAAATCCAAAATGTTAACTACATATTTCAGCAATCATAGCCATTCTAAAGTGACACAATGGCCGAAACTGGTTTGGCTCAGTGGATAGAGCATTGGCCTGCAGATTGAAGGGTCCCAGGTTCGATTCCAGTCAAAGGCATGTACCTTGATTACGGGCACATCCCCAGTAGGGGGTGAACAAGAGGCAGCTGATCAATGTTTCTCTCCTATCCATGTTTCTAACTCTCTGTCCCTCTCTCTTTCTCTCTGTAAAAAAAAAAAAAAAAAAAAAAAATCAATAAAATATATTTTTAATAAATAAATAAATAAATAAATAATAAAGAGACAATGAATAATTGACCTTAGATACCAAAAAAAGGGGAAAAAAACACCCAAAGGTTACTGAGTAAAGCCTAAAATATTTTTATAAATAGCAATAAATAACAGAAATATTCAGTACACATTAAGATTGATTATATAAAATATTAAAATAAATTATAAAGGAATTTATCTAGCTATTTCTATTCTTTATTTGCCAAAAAACTAGGCAAATAATTCTGTGACATGGTTAGATATCTGACATCAAATCCCTAGCAACACCATTAGATATGAGCTCATTGGAATAACAATAATGTATCATCCTAGAAGAAAAGCTGGCTGTTCTGCTAAATAAACATTATCTATTTTCCTCTTGAATATTGGCAGCATGTCCTTTATTGAAATTCTCTCCCTTCCTTCCTCCTTCTGTCACTCTCCCCATAATATTAAATGCAGTTATTATATTAGTTTTTGAACCTCACATAAAAGTTGGTATATGATAATCAATTAGAAATTATCTGAATCTATTTCACCTAAAAACAATTGAAAAAAATGTAACTTTAGAACTAAAATGGAATGTCATAAATGGTTAGTTGCATAATCTTGACACTAAACAGCCACAATTACTTCTTTTTAAAAATCTCATTTT